CACTGGCCAATCAGTGTTTTATTTATTGAACAATCAGAGAAATTTGACATATAGACCATCCCACAGCAAGCAGTGCCTTTCACAACTCCACATATATAAACCTCAGTCCTTTAATAAATGAGAGCTTGTCCCTGGACCAGAGACAGCAGGACCCCAGCTAGGAGCCAGCAACAATGATGGACAACAATATAGAAGTATAAAGCAAATAAACCCTTTCCTCCCCAACTTTCTTTTTAATCACAACGTTGCCTTACAGCAATCGAAACCCTAAATAAGACACTCCCAAACAGGGGCAATGAAAGGATCTGGAAAACAAGCTTGTTTAGTCACGTTGGTCAGGACTTCAGGGGCACTCTCCCCTAGCAGAAAAGATAAAGCACCTTACGCAAAGAGAGTTCACTGGACAGGTAACACTGATTAATGAACCAGGCTTGTGGGATCCCATATGGCTCTATCCTCCCTACTATGGATTTAATTTTTTAGCCAGGTTGACACCAGGGTCAAAGGAGACCTGCTGGTCACATTGGCAAATGTGACAATGTTGAGAGGGTTAGGAAACATTCAAAGGCAAGAACCTAGAATATCTTGGAAAAGGAAATAATACACATGTCTAACAAGAATAAAATTGAAAGGAATGACATACTGTTCTTCCCAGAGCTGTGGAAACAACAGTATGGACTGGGGGCACGGCCTCCAGATCACTGTGTTAGTGCTAGAACAAGCCCAGAGGCAGCTACAGTGTGAGGAGGCTCACTTGTGGCAGAACGAAAGATCTGACTGCCCCTACTCTGAGATGACCAAACAAAAGAGGACCCAACTGAACTCTCAGTCTTTAAAGAAGAATGAAAACTGCCACTTGCATTATGGTGGGGAGTCTTCGGAATGCTGAAGAAGTTGAAATTCTATATTATGAAGAGCATTTGAAGGAACCAGGAATTTTTACCAAGAGTTTGAGAGAATTATCATGAGTCCAAGGGCTATTTTCAAAGATCCTAAGGACCACCAGTCAGCAACGAGATTAGTCCATTTATCAGATATCAAATCATGCTCCATCTTACAAAATGGATGTGTTCTTACAAAAGTGTGTATGATGGTTGCTGGTGTCAGCTTGATAGGATCTAAAGTCACTTGGGAAATGGATGTCTGGGCATGTCTCTGTGGGATTGTCTTGATCACCTCGATTGTGTTAATTGATATGGGAAAAACCCATTTTAATTGTGGATGAAACCATTCCCTGGACTGAGATCCTAGAAGGCATAAAGTGGAGAGAGTGAGCCGAGCAGAGTGCATTGTTGCATGAATCTGCTGTGGGATGGTTTGTATGTCAAATTACTCTGACTGGTCAATAAATAAAACACTGATTGGCCAGTGGCTGGGCAGGAAGTATAGGTGGGACTAACAGAGAGGAGAAAAGAGAGAACAGGAAGGCAGAGGGAGTCACTGCCAGCCGCCACCATGACAAGAAGCATGTGAAGACACCGGTAAGCCATGAGCCACGTGGCAAGGTATAGATTTATGGAAATGGATTAATTTAAGCTATAAGAACAGTTAGCAAGAAGCCTGCCATGGCCATAGAGTTTTTAAGCAATGTAAGTCTCTATGTTTACTTGGTTGGGTCTGAGCGGCTGTGGGACTGGCAGGTGACAAAGATTTGTCCTGACTGTGGGCAAGGCAGGAAAACTCTAGCTACACGAATCCTAAATGGTCTTATAATAAAAACCTAGAGCTAGATAACAGGTTGACAGCTGAGAGATCAGAGACACAGAGCAAGCCACAGACACCACCTCTTACCTCATCAACTTCTCAGCCATAAAGAAGTTCCTGTCTCCTCCTGCCTTATAGTCCTTTCTCTGCCCAGCCATAACACCTCCTGTCTCAGTCTCCCTAGTGCTGGAATTAAAGGTGCATGATTACAAGTGCTGGAGTTAAAGGTGTGTGCCACCACTGCCTAGCTCTGCTTCTCTTGTAGCCCAGCATGGCCTTGAACTCACAGAGATCCAGACAGATCTCTGCCTCTGCCTCTCAAGTGCTAAGATTAAAGGTGTGTGCCACCACTACCTGATGTCTATGGCTAACTCTGTGGCTGGCTCTGTCCTCTGATCTTCAGGCAAGCTTTATTTCCTAGATTACAAACAATATATCACCACAATGCATTATTACTGTTTCCTGATTCTGGGTGCAATCTCACAACTGCTTTAAGCTCATGCTGCCCAAATTCCCCAAGATGGACTATACTTTGAACTGTGAGCTACAACAAAAACTTCCTCCCTTAAGTTGCTTTTGGCAGAGTATTTTATCACAATAACAGAAGAGGAAACTAAGTGTGTAAACCCATGTAATATCACGGGAGAAGATTTAGCTACACCTGAAAAAAGTGCTACCATGAATCTTATCACTACAGTGAAGAACGTGGTGAATCTTTGGGTCATCAAATAATAATCATCTAAATAACATTTTATAAATTTAATTTGGGCTTACTATGTTTTGGGGAAGATGGAAGTAAGGATAATACCAGCTAGCAAAATAGAAAGGATCAAAAAGTAGATCAAGCTAAGCAGATCTTATCACCAGAGGTTGAAGCAAATGTAGATGAATGAAATTCAACTAGAAGAAGCCCTCAAATAGAAAGTTCTGGTACAGGTGCCTGGTAGAGTGAGTAAACAAAGCCTTTTATGCTTTCTCCATCCAGCTCATGTCTCCTGCCTCAAGTAACAGCAGTGGTTCTCTGTCGCCTTCCTCTTCTTCTGATTGCCTGGTGGGCCGGGGAGGGCCTGGCCGGAGCCACGTGGCAGCTTTAAGGAGCCGGTTTGAGTTGGAATATGCCCTAAATGCAAGGTCCTATGCTGCTTGGTCCCAAAGGTAAGTGACATTGTCATCAAGCGTCTTACTGTGAATCCAGATTTCAATTCCTGATCAAGAAAGTCACCTGGATGATGGCTGTCTAGAGGAGCCTGAATGGCCCTCTGGAAAACATTGAAGGAGAGTTTTGATTTCATTTTCCTTACATGGTGAAAACAAACTTAAACTTTAATCCTTCTTTAGTTCAGGTTCTTCTGTAAAGTATCAGTAATAGCAGTGAGCTCTGGAATCAAGGAACATATCTGTTGTAAAGTGATCAAGTATTCTAAATTACTGAATTATTTTGGGGTGGTCTTGTGGAACTCAAGGAAGGACTCCCATGTATGAACCTGGAAACAGTCTTGGTTGTGGAGCATCAGACATCCAGAGTCAAACAAACCTTCACGGCTCTGCAATTCCATTCCTGGGATATACCCCACAAAAGTGGAAACAGATGTTCAAACAAACCTTGTACACAAATGTTTATAGCCACCTTGTTCACAGTAACCAAAGATTGGAAGCAACTCAAGTGTCCGCCAAAGATGGAGAGACAACCTGTTGGGAGGCACCATGCAGTATAGCATTATTCAGCCATAAAAACAAATTAATATGGATAAACCTTGAAAACATATCTACAGAGTCCCTGTTTGTTTTGGTTTTGGTTTTGGTTTTGGTTTTTCGAGACAGGGATGCTCTGTGTAGCTTTGCGCCTTTCCTGGGACTCACTTGGTAGCCCAAGCTGGCCTCGAACTCACAGAGATCCACCTGCCTCTGCCTCCCGAGTACTGGGATTAAAGGCGTGTGCCACCACCGCCCAGCCAGAGTCCCTGTTTTATATGACCTCCCTAATATGAGGATCCAAATAGAATAGATTTGTGAATAACTTAGACACACACACACACATACACACACACACACACACACACACACACACACACACACACACACACACTTTTTGATTACTGAATGGCTTCAGTAGCTGGGTATGGTTCCTTACAGACATGCAGGTGGGAAATCTGATACTAGAGAGTATCATGATTGGGTTCTGGTCCTCTATAAAGAACATCACTTTTCCGGACTCTAGACTCCACCCCCAGATCTGGTTCACCTTAATTACCTCCTCAGAGACCCTATTTTCAGAACAGGCACGTGAGATATTGGAGCTTCAGCATATAAATTTGAGGAAAGAAATTATCTATTATATATCAATAAGTAAATCTATGAAAAAAGCAAAAATCGAAAATAGATTGATGTTGGCAAGAATCGACAGGAGAGAGAAGTTTGGAGGGACTTATTAATGGGTATGAGTTCTGTTTTAGACAATGAAATTTGAGAGTTATAGGTGCCCTTTATACAAACAGTATTAGCCGGGCAGTGGTGGCACACACCTTTAATCCCAGCACTCGGGAGGCAGAGGCAGGTGGATCTCTGTGAGTTCAAGGTCAGCCTGGACTACAGAGTGAGTTCTAGGAAAGGCATAAAGCTACACAGAGAAACCCTGTCTCAAAAAACAAAAAACAAACAAAAAAAAACCAGTATTAGCGTAGTAAATACCACTGAAATTCTCATTTTAAAATTGTTAATTTTAGGTTATCTAAACTTCATCAGAGGAAACACACTGAGCAGTATTCCTCTTGGTGACCTCCCCTGTTCACATGGCTCAGTTCCCTATAGGCAGGTGTCTTGACTTTGAGCCTCACTGTGGATTCAAGGAGAGCTATGTTAGTCATCTTTTGCTTTAAGATGTCTATGCAACTATCCATCTCAAAATTCAGGACCAACAGCCATACCTAGACATTTCTAGCTCAGATGCCCATAGGGTGGTTCTGGGTGAACTTGGCAGTGGACTCAATTATAACAAAATCTGCTCTGTGAGTTGTGAGTCTCAGCCTCCTCAGATGCACATAAGAACATAGTAATGTAGCTAGAGTTTTCCTGCCTTGCCCACAGTCAGGACAAATCTTTGTCACCCGCCAGTCCCACAGCCGCTCAGACCCAACCAAGTAAA